CTTTCCCTGAAGCCTCCTCCTTTCTTCTATATGTCACATCCCACAGAGTGTTAAATAGCTCCTTTACTGACATGCAACAGGACAGCCTCGGGCATCTTCACTCACCTTCCAGGTGCCTTCCCCCAGTGACTTGCACTCTGGCACTGTCACCTCATTCTGGTAATCCGTGCTATGCCCAGTACCCTTGGGGAGAAAAATAATGATTTCAAAGGCAACAGAAGGACACAGAAGGAAAACAAATGTTAACATTTTTTTACAGTTTTTACAATGCTGATCCTTTCTATTCTGTAGTTTCTGCAACTGTTCACTGTAGTCATGTTTCCACTGCTATCAGAGCTACTTTTCTGTGTAAGTTTTTATTTAGCCTAGAATATATGTGAAGCAAGGTCCTTGCAAGCATATAAATCCATACTGTGCCCTGAACCTCTGAGACTCGTGTCATGGAAACTCTTGAGCTCTTACACACAGATCACTCCCTTAGTATTTCTGCGGTCATGGTGGAGCATTGTTGGCCCCCATATCAACAGGTTGGTGGGCTTACTTTCATCACAGGAGCTTGTGGAAGATGAGGTCCACCAGTGCAAAGACCATGCTTCCCCATCCCCATTGGGCCCTGACCCAAGCTACCTCTGACCTTTCCAGCCATCCTCTGTAGGTACCTCCTGTAGAGCACCCTGCTGAGTGACTTGGCGGCACCTGATAAGGGCAATATTGGGAGCTTGCCAGTCAAATAATACTAACAAGTCCCTTTTTTCATTTCTTGCGTGTTCACTTAGGTGACAGACAATGAATCTGCTTCCTCCACTCCTCGGGCCTTATCTGTGTGAATGACAAACTGGAGCGCACAAGACGGGAATGGAACGGAATGGAAAAATTATTTACTGCCCTAATATACACTACGCGTTTTCTCATCTTCTTATTTTCAGAATAGGACAGACTACTACATCTGCAAACCTTCATGGGCTTCTTAGCTAAAGTACTTGTTCTGAAATGAGATTGCCTCTTGCAGCCATCAGCAGATACACGTAACAGATGTGCCATGGGTGACTGAGATGAAAAGGCGGAGGGGAGCAGAGCCGAGAGGGAACAATGACAATAGAAGTTCATTGTGAAAAATAAGTGTGCCAGCTCACAATTTAACTCAGCTGTGCTGAACGACATTACTGGCACTGTGACAGACATTATTTCAGAGGTTTTAAAGGGATGCAGTGGCAGCTTCCCCATGAGGAGACTGAAAAACAAGTGCAAAGGTGTTTGAGAGGGAGGAAGGAAATGGCTGAGCTGGACCAGCATACGTATACATACAAACCAGTGTTCCATTTTAACATTTAATAGGTCAAAGCAATTAAATTAACAGTAAGAGCACATTTAGGGGGCCGGTTAGCTCAGTCAGTTGAGCGTACTGCTAACAATGCTAAGGTTGCGGGTTCGATTCCCGTTTGGTCCCCATGTGTTGCCTGATCTAGTCGAGAGGTGGTGTCCCTGGTGGCCGGGAGGCTGGATTAAAACGATCTCTAAGGTCCCTTCCAGCTTAGGCCATTCTATGATTCTATGATTTAGCAACATCATTGTGTACTCAAAACACTAGCATAAGAAATAACTCTGGAGATTCTCAAGGGGTATGGCATTAGTGCAGAATTTGTACTTATTTACATAAATATAAATCCAGACTATTTTAATTCATTTTAAGTTGAGAGTGCAGGCTTATATTAGCATAGTATGGAAGAGAGTGTAACCTGCACACACTCACATAAGTCATATTTAGTCTAAATCTGTAGAAGTACAACAAGATTTTATTCATTTACAAATAAATTAATATTACCAGTATTGAGGAAGTTGCTAGCTTATGTTGGTAAAGTTTTTCCTGTTCGTTTCTCGTGGTAAATCGTGAGAGACTACAACTAATGGGAAAAGCTCAACTGGCAATATGATTTGTAGTTTCTTAATATCAAAGACTTCAAGGAGCTCACAGCAGGAACTAGCATGTCTTTGTGCTCCTTTCCTTAAAACGTGATTTTCATAATCTGTGATTTGTCTTCTTGGCTTATCATTTAATTGTGATTTAGACAAATGCTCTCATTTTAGAATGATTACCAAAGCAGTCAGAGCCTTGGGTTTAGAGTGAATGAACAAAGATTTGCAAATATTGAGGTGAAAATTCTTCCTCTGAATGGGGTCTTCCTTAAGGTATTTTTGAATGTGGTATTTTGGGGATTTCATTGGGCTGTTAACTGGAATTTGTTTAAAAATGTCTTCAATAAAAGCAGACTTGTAAGGCACTCTCCTGCTATTTCATGACACTGTGATACAGAACCAGCATTGTTTCAAGGGAAAAATTAAATGACAGGAAATCTGGTTTCTGATGATGATAAGAATCACCAGTGTTTGAGCTTAAAGTTCAAATCAAGTGACTTGGAGAGCCTGGTGCCTTCCCATTAATCTGCAGTAATGAATTTCATACTGGAGTGGAGTTGTGGGCCTGGGAAGGTCTTCCGCACAGGTGACAGCAGAGGGGGAGATTAAGTAGAGAGATCCAGGTGCTACAGAGCAGCTCCAAACTGCCACCAGGTGCAGTGTGTTAAAGTTTTCTGTTGTGTTGCAAGGACAGCTCCTGTGTCTGGCTCCTCCTTCTTTCCACAGTTCCAGGAAAGGCCATGCTGATAGTGGAGCTCCTGGAGCCTTTTTGCTCAGGTAAGAGGTGTGGAGTTCTAGGGGGTGGCTGGTTGTGCCCACTGTGTCTCTTGCCCTGGGGTCAGGCTCTGTTAGGGGCAAGTGCAGTGAAAGAACTGCCTGGTACTACTTGTGCTGGCAAGCAGAAAGCTCACACTAAATTTTCTGGAGGAAAAATTTAAAAATACTTAGTACAATCAATATCTTGCAGCTAATAAATCCTGTGGGGCCTCCTAAAAGTACAGCGTACCAAGGAGAGAAAGTGAGCAGTGTGTGGAGAAAAGGGTCACTGCTCTTGAGGGGTTCTGTAGCCTGCTGAGAGGTCTCTGCTAATCATTAAAAATGGGTTTAGTAGTTACAGGCCTTCATCTCTTCTGTCTTGCTCTCTGCCCACAGGGTTAGGTATTTTTCAGTAAAATATAATTATGCCAATACTCATGGACTCCTCATTCAGTTGTTTTTAGCATAATTCTGCTTCAGTTTGAAAACTGGCACATGTTGTTACAGGGCCATTCCCAGCTTCTGAGCTGAGCATGAATGAGCTATAAAACTGACCAGTAAGTGAATTTTCAATAGCACTTGCATAGCAGATGTAGTGAGTGGATTTTATGCTCTGGAGTGGAGAAAAGCTGCTTTGCTGAAGGGTTAGAAGGTGAAGAATGGCAGTTTGATTTTCAGCAAGCAAACAGTTTCAGCAGAGCCCATTCCCCAAAGGGTGCAGTTGAAGGATGTGTTGATTAACGTGGCACAAAGCCAGTGTTCCCTTTTTAACATTTTAAGCGTAAGCAGCCTCTGCGGCGCAGGGATGGCACCTGGCCCGGCGCTCCTTCGGGCTGCGTGAACCTCTCCAACACGAAATGCCCTACAGGTTTTCTGTGTTCCTGCAGGGTACCTCCCAAACAAACACTGCTCTTTCCAGGCCACTGGTTCCTTTAATTATTTATGTTTCTGAAATAAGTCCTGGGGTGATGTCAATTCTTTATGCTGATCTCACTAGTTTGATACAGAAGAACATGGCTCAGCCACTTTTTTCCCCACTTTTGGGGTGAGGGAGGAATCTTGATGAGAGTGTCCTTTATTCTGGATTTGTGCAGAATGGACTAGCAAATGCCACTGCCAGGTGTGTAATGCCAAGACCTCAGTTTATCTCCACACTTGGATTTTCCACGTACACAGAGACCTCAGCCATGAACCATCCCCAAGTCAGCCACTAGCCCCGTGACTCTGGTCATCCAAAAACCTGAAGGTAAAAGCTAGCAGCTCTGCCTGGATTTAATGAATAGAGGTGTTGTGCATTATTTAATCAACCAGCAAACAGGCATTTGCTGGGCAGCCTCCTGGTGATGGTATTTCCCAGCATGTGCAGATGGGCCCAAAAGTGAATTGCAAGATGGCATTTGCCAGAGCTGGCAAGTACGTGTGTAGCGAACACAGAACCAGAACAAAGACAAAGCCAGGGTGAACACACGCTGTGGAAATATCCCCATGTGTCTCCCAGCACTGCCGTAAGGAATACCCGCCTCTAGTCTCATTGGTTAGTCGGTTGGAATTCTTGATTCTTCAAACCAGAGCTTTACAGCTCTTGGCAAATAATCCCATCAGCAGAAGGGAATGCAATGTATTGAATAGTATTTTGCCCTTCAGAGGCCACGTATCTGCTGAGCTAAGAACTCTTCAGGAATGAAATCTTAAAATGCTGAAGTCAATTGCAAAAACTGCCTTTGATGTTGCCGGGGCCCAGTTTGGAAGCCGGGCACTTCCAAGGCTGCCACCTCGGGAAAGACAAAAAAACTACGTAACTTTGGGAAAGGGCGTGCGTGTTACTGCAGTCAGATTTATGAAATACAGGTGTCACGACGCCGTCAGGCATCAGCCTCCGCACCTTGTGTGGGCAAACCAACCTCCTTTGGAAATGGGGCCACG